ATTACATCAAGGTCTGTACCTGCTCAAGGAGAGCTATTCTCTTAATATTCTAGTGTCCACCATCCTTTTCTGATGTTTTTGAGTCTATTGTGTCTAAATCCTTTGAAAATCAAGTTTTATTATGACATTGTCATATGGGTCATTCCAATTTTTCATTATATTGCAAAGTTATACCCTCATCACCTTATTAATAAATGCCAGAGTTCTATCATTGTGAAGCTTGCCAATTGATTAAGCTAACTCGTCTTATATATCCTTTATCTCAGTACAAACTCACATTCTTTCTCTATGATTTACAGTGACATTTGGGGACCATCAAAATTGAAAACTATCAATAGAGCCAGATGATGTTTCCTTCATTGATGATCATACGAACCAGTTGAATATTTCTCATAAAGTAGAAGTCTAAAACTACACAAATATTTCAGTCCTTTCGTTATATGATTTACATTCAGTTTCAATGCAAAATTCAGATTCTTGAAAGTGATAATACAAAGGAACACTTTAACTCGATCTTTAGACCCTACTTTACAAACAGTGGTATTATCCATGTGAGTTCCTGTATTGAGACTCCACAACAAAATGAAATAACTAAGAGAAAGAATATACATCTCTTCAATATATCTAGTCTATAATGCTCTCTCACAATGTGCCAAAAGTTTTTTGAGATGTAGTGCTCACAATCACCTAATTCATTAATAGAATGACAAGTAGGATCCTTGGATTTAAAGCCCATTTCCATAATTTGATGGAAACATAACCTTATGTTAGAGCCTTCTCATCCAATCTTCATCAAAAAATATTTGGTTCTCTTTTTTTCACATTCACCAACCAAACTATATAAAGCTTAACCCAAAATACATCAAATGTATCTTCCTTAGTTATGCTTCTAACAAAAAAGGGTAAAAGTTTTATTTTTCTATTACAAAAAAAACACTAACTCCATGAATGTTACATTCTTTAAAAAACAATCTTACTATCCCAAATCTGAAATTCAGGGGGGGAGGCTTGGGTGAATATCGATTTGAGACACTACTCTGGATACTCATACTAAAGTCATTAAAACCTATCCTACTTTTCTCTAACTACGCAGTCTCCTAAGTTCCACCACAAGGAACTTCGTGTGTGCACCAGGAGAGATAAATCCACACCAGGACAAAGACAATATTAAATCAGAGGACTGTTCGCAGCCAAACTTGAATCCACTTATCTCTGAAGTTTCGAGGGAGGTGAAATCTGATAGAGAAGACAAGGAAAGTTACATAAATTATCTTATCCAGGAGTATGTTGCTTATTGGAAGTTAGCATCACTTTTTAATTCTTTTATAACTAATATTTATAGTGTGCATATACCCAAGTCTATTCATAAAGCATTGCAAAATTTAGAAAGAAAAAAGATAGTTGAAGAGGAGATCCAAGCACTTGATCAAAATGACACATGAACCTTTACGGAGCTTCCTTTAGATAGAAGACCTATTGGGTGCATATGGGTGTTCGATGTCAAGTACAAAGCAAATGGGAGTATTGAGGGATTTAAGGTTAGGTTTGTGGCCAAATGTTTCTCTCAGTCTTATGGGATAGACTATCAAAAGACTTTCGCACCAGTGGTAAGGCTAAACACTGTAAGAGTTATTTCCTTAGCAATGAACAAAAAGTAAGAATTACATCAACTTAATATAAAAAATGATTTTTTGAATAGAGACCATGATGAACAAGTGTATATGGATATCTCATCAGGGCTGGAAAATGACCCAAATAAATTTCTGGTTTGTAAACTAAGAAAATCACCACTCAGAAAATTTCCACGAGCTTGGTTTGACAAGACTATGAAATCTAATAGATACACCCAATGACAAGCTGACCATAAATCATTCATAAAATATACACAGGAAAGCAAAAAAACTATACTCACTGTATATGTTGATATGATCCTGACAAATGATGATGACAAAAAAAAAGGAAGATTAAGGAGTTGATTGCCACTGAATTAGAAATCAAAGATCTAAGAGCTATGAGATACTTTATAGGCATGAAAGTGGCCAGGTTTAAGAAGGTAATTGTGATATCCCAAAGAAAGTATATCCTAGACTTACTAAATGAGACATGAATGTTGGGGTGTAAACTTGTTGAGACATTTATTATAGATTTTAACAAAAGGTACATTCAGGAGTAGATAGACACAACAGTGGAGAAATGTAGATAGTAAATATTGGTGGGAAAGCTTATCTGTCTGTCATACACTAGACCTGAAATTGCTTATTCTGTTAGCATTGTTAGTCAACATATGAATAGTCCAAATAAATAACATTTGAAGATGATTTACAAAATATTGAAGTTTCTTAATAAGACCCCTGATAGAGGGTTATTGTTTAAAAAATCAGATAACAATGAGGTAGAAGTAGTGCAAAATTTGAGTATCGGACACTTGCTTTAGGAATTTGTGAAGGAATGTAGATCCACAGGTAACTAAATAAGTTGAGGACTGAGATGCTTCACGGTTAATCCCATAAAGATGTTTTGTGACAGCTAAACCTCTATTAGTATTTAAAAGAACCCCGTGCATCATGATAGGATCAAACACATTGAGATTGACAAAGATTTTCTCTCTAAAAAGGTCAATGGTGACATTATTTATTTAATCTACAATCCAACTCATCTTCAAGTGGTTGATGTCTTCACTAAATCCCTACCTACAGGCAACTTTACTAATTTGAATACCAAGCTGGGTCTTTACCACATCTATGACTCAACTTGAGGCAGAGTGTGAAATTATATCCTTGTTAGGTGGCTCGGACTGCAAGCCATATGGGCAGACTCAATTTGTGGAAGCTATTGGAGTGAGTTTCCTTTTTCAGCTTTATTCTTTTTTATTCTTTTCTTATTATGTTGCATGCTTTTTCTTCATTATTTTATTTTGTATTTGGTAAGTTGTAATAGTACTAATTATGTTTGCCATAGCTATCCCCCATATAATAAAGTGAAAGATTGTAATTTGAGAATGATTTTGAATGAGAGAATATAGTATCTTCACCTTTCTTTACTTAGGTCCTCCTATGACCTATCATTTGTATAATTTGAATGATTTGCAGGACTTGTATGGGGATATTTGTAGAAGGCTAACTACTCACTAAGACAATTACAAGCTTTATGATGAGCTACTGTTGATGGTGGTGTCCGGAGATGTGTTAGATAGACCTGCTTGTAGTGACTCATGGATTATTTTATAGGATTCCTAAAATTTATGTTTTGAATTATTTGATGAATATCAAATGTTAAATTTACATTCAACTTTTTCCACGTTTGGGCAAATATGATGGAAATCCATGCATTTGTTCTCATTAAAAGCTTCACATCAAGCAACAAATTGAGCAAATTTTATTATTTCGTTAGTTTATTATATTTTACTTTATTTCATAATTTGAGTTGTTGTAACTTTCTTTTGATGATGACCTTTGGAAAACATGTATTTACTTTACTAATGTTAGGTTGCTCTTATAGTTTGGCATTAGATCAACATGGTTCTGCTTTTAGATATTTTCATGTTCAACCTCCACGTTCAATTCATTGTTACCTAAATTTTTTACTGGGATGCTATTATGCTGATATCAAAGGATCAATTTGTCAAGCGTCAGATTTCTACAGGCCTTGCAGATTGATGCGAGATTTAGGCTCCTCCTCATGTATTTTCTTATCTGCTCTCTATTCCCATAGCATTGTTGCTTCTTTGGGACATTTGTTTCATTTTTTTACTTGTGGCTTTTGCTTATGGTTTATAGATTTTCATTGGATTTTTGCTTTCACGTGATTGCTTGGGTTTGAGTTTTATCTGTAGGAAAAAATAAAAAAAAAACAAAAAAAAAGGTATATACATGAAACTATTTTAAATTTTTGATTTTTGGCTAAAGGTTTGAAGAGATAATCTTGTGCCAATGATATATAATAAGCTGTCTATAAATAGATGTTTTGAGGTATGTAAATTGTTAGTTTTTATTCGATAATTTCTTTTTGGTTTCAATCCTATATATGTAAGCTAGATGTGTGATTTCTTCGAGTGCGGGTAAGTGTGATTGCTAAATTTTGGGTTAGTAATCTCTTTGTATTAGTGTGAAGCTTGGTTTTCTTTCCTTTGAATTCTTTCTTTGATATAATTTATCCTACGTATGTTGTTGATGATCCTACTTTTGTTCAAGTTTAGAGGCAATTAGGAATCTTATTGTAATGAACAAATTGCAATTGCTCAATAATCTTGTGGAGCCAAATTTCTCATTTATTTCTTCAAATTAACTTGATCACTAAGTTATTCTTTGAGTTCCAATTCTTATATTTAATCTTTAGGATTTGGTCGTACGTCATATCCTACTGGTAAGCACAATTGGCATCAGTAATATTACATACATTTTGACGTAAAAATGGGGTTTTTCATTCGTTTATATGTCGTTCTTTGCTTGAAGGCATATGGATTTGTTGGGAATATTTCAAAAATGGTTCAAGGAAAAATGATGTGATGTTATGTGACAGAAATGCTTGTAATGATATGGTGGTACCGTAACATTTACCAATTTAATGAACCCTTATTTTCTCCTTCTATATTAATGTAAAATCAGATTTTCTTATACTCAAATTAGTCTTCTTGTTTATCCTATTAATATGATTTTCTTCGTTTATTTCATATTCAACATGTCAGTGATTGAAGTTTTTTTTCTTCTTCTGGAAATGCAGTTAATGGTTTGTTGTTTTTCATACATCAATGTATAAATTTGAAGTGCTGAACTTATTTGCATTCCATGAACATGATATGTGTTTGGTCATCTGGATGGAGATGAAAAGCGAATTCTATCTGTATATTGCGAGCTTTTGTTGGAATAATTCTAACTTTCGCATTATGCAGAGTGAGCTTTTTTATGATTGAAAGAGCAATAGTAAAATAATTTTAAATTGCTGGCATTCTAGTTACAAATTTTCCATTTATTTCATCCTAGCCCTTCATTTTTTGTGACCAGGTAACTGGGAGCTCAAGTCCAACAGAACTCATTCAACCATCGGTTCCAGTTCAACTAATCCAGATCTTTGTAGCAATGGTGGCAATGGATACATGGCAATATTTTGTGCATCGTTACATGCATCAGAACAAGTTCCTGTATCGTCACATCCACTCGCAACATCACAAGTTGGTTGTTCCTTATGCGATCGGAGCGCTTTACAACCATCCACTTGAAGGCCTCCTATTGGACACATTTGGGGGTGCACTTTCCTTTTTGATCTCCGGCATGACTGCACAAACAGCAGTTTTCTTCTTTTGCTTTGCAGTGATAAAGACTGTTGATGATCACTGTGGGCTTTGGCTGCCAGGCAATATCTTCCACATCTTGTTCCAAAACAACACGGCTTATCATGACATTCACCATCAGCTCCAGGGGTCGAAGTATAATTACTCTCAGCCTTTCTTTTCGATATGGGACAGAGTACTGGGAACCCACATGCCCTATAGATTAGTTAATCGGGAAGAAGGCGGGTTTGAGGCCAGGCAGCTGAAGGATTAGCTTGAAGCTCTTATACTCAATGAAAGAATGGTTAGTGCAGGCAAGGCAGAGCTGAATATACATAGTGGAAGAATGTGTCCACCATTAGGCTTTGTAGTCTAATAATGTTTATATGGATGGGATTGTGGGTATTCTTTTCTTGATGAATGGCTCTACCTTTGTCTCTTTTGTAGTCTGCAGTTTAGTAGCGGTTTTGCATGACTTTTACAGATGGAATCATGTTATTTTTAGATCTTAATGTTGTTATTATGAGCTATAGAGTATGTATTTCATATTTCTTGAAAATGATGCATTTAATTAACCTCTTCTCATGTACACTGCTGTCGCAGATGCTCTGCATAGTTTTTTGGACTGGATTTACTCTTGCATCGCTCATTAATTTTGATTTTAAAAGTGCAGAGAAATGCAGATGGTTTAAAATTAATATATATATATATACATATATATATAGTCTTGGATATTTCTGAATGATTTTGATTTATTAAATGCTTGAACAAAAGTAAGCTTTTAAATGAATATTTATATGTTGTTTGATCATCAGGATTTTTTAAAACTATTAATCGTTGATAAAGCCATCATGAAAAATGGTGAACTTTAAGGCAGATGTGTTTTTTTATGTTATAAATATTATAAGATGCGTCATTTTGCATCTCAAGTTTGTGCAGAACAGTTGATGTGAATATAAAATTAGACGGGAGAGTTGTTATTCTCCTCTTGGTACAACACAAGTTTTTCTCATACATCCTTTTATCACAAAAATAGAGATTTATGATGGTTATATTCTCGCTTGCTTTCTTGTCAGTAACATTCAATTTTAACATCAAGACCAGTAATCTTTATCTTCACTAATAAAAGCGTAATATGAAATCAAATTTCATACATTTTTTAAATCATTTTATCGTGCATCAACAATGCAGAATGAATGCCCTGTTAAGAAATTTAGATAGTATGATGAATGATTAATTGATTTCATGATTTGGAGCACTTGTATCAAATAAAGAATTTTGAGCATGCATTAAAAAAAAATATTTAGAATGATCTTTAATTCATCTTAATTGGGGTTTAAAAATAATTTAAAAATGTAAAATCATTTAAAAAAATAAAAAAATAAAAACCTGTAGACCATCTCGAATAAAACTTTCAGATTACATATACTAAAGAGCATAGAATCACATAACTCAACAGAGGCGACAGCAACATATATCACACTCAAAATTGTCTCCATTTCCAATTATCAGTATACAAATTAAGCTTACAAACATAGACTTGAACAGAAGCTTTTATTCCACGACTTGCTGCAGACCAAAATAAACTATAGAAAACACTGATTACACAAATAATAGCAATAATAATATCACAATAATACTTGCACACTGATGGCTTTTTAAGGAAACCTATTTACACCTAATAATAAATCAAACAATATATAAGGATAGGTATCTGGGAGATGGCAATCCTTCATGCATGCAGCCCACACTTTTATAAAACAAGGTGGAAAGAATGCAGTCCGAAACAAACAGAGAAAAAGTATGCTATTATCCAGGCTAATTGGAAGAGAATGCATGACTTCAAAAAATCTCAGTAAGGATGAAATGCTATGATTATTGAAGCAAAAAACTGAGAGTTCATACTAGCTAGGAATGGTCATAGGCTATCAAGAAGAACTCTTTTGCATGAATGCGTTTGGTCTGAATGGGGCTGAGGATCTCTTTTGCAAGGCGTTTGATTTGTATTTGAGACCGGTATTGGAGAAGGCGTGCCCAAGACGCTTAACAAAAATTTTCTCTCCTGAAAAATAATAAAATAAAAAAAAAAGTTAGTTTTATCAGCTACACTTTATCTGCAAGTCACATTGCTATAATGGTTGAGAGCTTTGTCTTTCAACCAAGAGCTCCTAGGTTCAAGGCCATATGCAGGGTACGTGTATTTGGATGTGTGGGAACAAAACAGTTATTTATTTATCATGAAAATGAAAAAAAAGTAATTTTGACATTGTGGTGAAGCTAGGACTTTTTTTAGAAAAAAAAATTGCTTGATTTTTTAAACTTCATTCTTAGCTGCACTAATTGTAAGTTGGCAAAATATAGAAGATGATTCAACAGTGCCTTTAGAGATCTATGTATGATTCTAACAATTACATATTTGCAAGATCTATCTCTACATTTAGAGTCTGTCTTTACCAAATTGTAAAAAATATTTTGATCTCAATTCATTAAATAAAGAGGGAGTGAGATTTAAGGCGAACTATCAAATCAGAAAACTCATTAAGAAATGTTTCCGCCAGTAAGTAAACAAAATCCTTTTGGAATATAAGGAAGCATATGATCATTTTGATGTAGTAGTTTGCCACCAGAAGATTGAAACGACAGGTAGCATTTGCAACAAATAATGGGCCAAAACAAATTTTGTTCCAATTATTACAGAATGTACGTTAATTCTATCTCCCTTCACACACTAGCTCTGTTTTAACAACACCAATCAATTAAAATTTGGTGACAAAAAGGCTGATACTATTAAATGAAACTTCCTTAGCTTTCCCCGAGTTAAAAAGATATGAATTCTTTTGAACGAATAGGAACATAAACATTTAAATTAAACATTACGCAACAAAACTTGATAGATATAAACTCCTATACTCTATTTGAAATTTGTGCAAGCTTAATCATGAGTTGTAATTCAAGGCTAAAGATTAAAACTTACACTAAATGAAAATTCAGGACTTGGAATCTCCTCTGTGAAAGAATGAAAAGGTGGGATGGTTTTAAGAGGGGAGTCAAATTCTGAATTTGATGAGACAGGCAACTTTTCACCATTTTGAGCGAGCTCTAGAAAAGAAGACATGGCTTCACCTGCAAAAGGAATTATTCATGCAAGCCCTTCATGATTCTATTAAAAAAACCAAAGGATATGGTTTTAACAATGATAATATACCTTGACAAACAAATTTAAGAGGAGCAGGAATTGCTTCATGTTGATGACTATGCCCAGCATTGCAGCCTGTAGAACAATGCTCGAGCTGATGCTTATCCATGTTGTTTCCAGGATCATCCTGAGTACAACCTGTGGTCATTTCAGAACTAGCCTGAGAGTCTTCTAGATCGCCGTCCCTGTTCAATAGGCTATCATTTAGCACGAAATGAACCAATATAACAAATAAATTCACAAGGTTTATCAAAGTATATTGCCTTGTTAAAAGCTGAATTTCTGTATCCGCACATTGGAAATCCTTGAACACTGCTTCGAAGTTATCCAGCAAGAAATCCATTCCAGAAAAAGTACTCAAAGTTCCACCTTCCTGAGTCCGGATCAAAAAACTTTGAAGTTCCTTAATAATCAAATGCGACAAGACAAATTTTCAGCTCACAACACTACAAACATTGAAAAAAAATAAAAAAACAAAACAAAACAAAAGGGGAGCATATCAAAATGGCAAGCTTGTGATGAGCAAAATACCTTCCAAGCATCCTCAAGACTCTTACTTTTGTTTTCAGAGCATGCTTTAACAGCAAGAGTGCTAAGTAATTCTGCTTGTTGCAACAAAGCTGTTAATTTTGGATCATCCCTTCTAAGGAAATTCCTCTGGACCTCACAATCTGCAATTGCTTCAAAGGAAAGACATGCATTACTCAGTAAATTGTCAAGAACAAAATATGGAAAACGAAATGGTGAAACAAAGAAGCCATTTTCTATGATGACTTACTATCGCATGATGTAGGCTTTATGCTGCTATCAGGATGACACTGTGCTGGAAAACAGCTCAAGTTCTTAAAGTTTTGAGTAAGAACTGCTAGTGGTGGCCTTGATTCTGCTCCACTAATGCCATGGTCTGTAGCCAATCTTTCATAGGAACTTGAGGCTTCTGCCTGGTCCGAGCTGCCACACCTGAAGTGTAGCAACAAAATACATAACTGCAGTAATTCTCAGACGGTTTGCTTGATTTTCATCATACCCGAAATGTTGCTTATTTGCTGAAGGTTCCAACATGATTTTCTTCTTGCTAGGGAGTATATAAGAATCATTATTTTCCTTGGATATTGTATGATGCTTGGCTCTTTTTCTGCAAAGGGTAGAAAAGCGGTTCTTCACTGCATTATCTGTTCTGCAAAAATACAGCACCAAAACATTATTTTTATTGTTATTCTTTGGTAAATATAAAGCATTACTGATATATACAGCTGTCTACATTTACCTGCCTTTAACCACCTTTGCAATCTCAGTCCATCGGTTGCCAAATATCTTCTGAGCCTGCAAATCAACTTAGAGCTCCAATATCAGAAATTAAATATTTGATTAAAAAAGAGCATGGGTTGCTGCTCTAGAAACTGACGCTGGAATCATATCAGTAATCTCTAAAAAATGAAGGTGTTGTTCGGTTGCAAGATATAGGAAAGGTTTAGAAGGAATTTAATGCATAACCAAACAGTTGATTGGTTTTTTTAATGTAAATGCCTCGGGCATTCAAAAAGAAAAAATGTATCATAACCATCTTGATCAAAATTTCAAATTAAATGGATATCTTGACTAGTTAAGAAACATAATCTGATTATGGTGATTAAGCATTTGGGTTGTCATTCTGTATTTCATAAATTATAAAAAAATTTGAGGTTGAAAAAGCCAACCTAAATCTGGATTTAATAAATCCTATGGACAATAGAAATTAAAGGATCTGGCAGCAAGAGTAATAGATTTAGTAAATCTTCTTACTAGTGTCCAAACAATAACTTGGATTAAACATAATGATGATCAAAAAGTTCCTACTGGAATTACAACATAAAATCCACCGGATACATAACAGCCACAGTAAGTACACGTATAAGAAAATTTTCAAAGGGTTTAGGAATCAGCAATCACACCTATCCAGTTTCTCAGAGTTAAATTACTCTACCTATGAAAAGAACAACAAGAGTAAATATTTTCCAAATTGAATTGGCAGACAATGTTACAAAACTTGTTACCTCACATAAAAGCATGTCCTCTTCCTGCGACCACCCGCCTTTCTTGCACTCCGTGTTCAAGTATGTCAGCCATCTACAAACCATTACTTTCACTATAACACTCTCAAATCAAAACACGAAAGAACCCTAAATAGATAAAATAAACTATAAAAATCCCAATAGCATCCTTTTTCCCACATGAGGAAAGGAGGAAAACAAGAGTCTCACCTTCTCCGACACTGCCTGCCAGTCTTATTCTTGAACTGAGCTGCAATTATCGTCCAGCTGAAAACAATGAAAAGTACATCATTGTCAGAGTTCAAATTACGAAAGAGGGAGGGAGAACAGAGGACAGAGGACTACTCACTTATCGCAGCCATGAACAGCGACTTGATTCCGAAGTAGATCGTCCTCCTAAACCAACAAAAGAAAGAAAAAAACTAATTTTGATCAAGCGAGAAAAGAGAAAATGCTAAGAATGAAGTATAAGAGGTGCGTGGAACCTCCTGAGTCCAGGAGACCATGTGGCGATCCTTCTTCGCCTGAGTAACCGCAGCCGCAGGGGCTGCATGGTCGGAATTCATCGCTTACTGTCAGCCTAGTCGCATCGGTTTCGAGAAGATTGTTTGTTCTGCTTGTAAAATTCCCTGTGCGATTCGAAGAGGAGATCAGGGGACGAGATATAAATAAACAAAGGCCCTATTAGGGTTTTAGATGGGCGCGAAAAATGGGTGTTTTGAAATCAGGGGAATAACTGTAGCAGTGGATGTAAAAGATCAAGATGCATGAGTGTGAAGGAAGAGATGGAAGAATTTAATTCCCCGCGGTGAACTTGTCATTCTCCGTGATCGCACGGCCGTTTTCATCTGCAACTCCGGAATTTACTTTTTTTTTCATAATTTTATTTTCGATCAATTAATATATTAACAATTATTAATCCTATTATTTTTTTTGAAAAATTTACATATATATCATGCAATTTTTACGCATTTCTATTTTTATTATCTAAAATTTAACATTTATATTTATAATAATTTAATATCATAAGATTATGCTATCAAAATAAGTATTTTATTTTAAAGAATTAGCTAGTAATATTGTTAGATCTCATATTGTGAACACGTCTCTTGAGTTAGAGCAGGGTGAAAGAAAGAAAAGATAGTTGATTAGGTCAATAATTTGCTGGAGAGAGCATCCACGCAGAGGTTTGACTTTTTAACATTGCAGTAATAAGTTGGGGTGATGTTGGGGTTGCAGTCACGGGCCACTGGTTGACCCCTTTCTCATAACGTGTCAGTTGGTCCTGATCTGTACGATCAATCGTTGATTTGTCGAATTATTCGATTCTTCGACCGTTTAGTAGCTTTGAGATTTGTGCTGGTATTTCTGGTGTATACATATTAGTTCCCTGAATTTTCATATTCATTGATAGCGACAACTACAATAAAGACAGAGAAATTTATTAAATAATTGTTAGCATTAAATTCATGGATTCATTGAACATTTAACTTCCCTTGGGATTTGGTGTCATGTGTGTTCTATAAATGGTCATGAACAGAGTTTTGTATCATTTTTTGTCCTTTCTCATTTTACAAATGAAGAGCGTTATGGTTGACGGTTCGAGCTAAATCGTTGTGGACCCTCAGAGGTTGACGAAGGTGAGGTTTCAAATCTCTTCCTCCGAAAAGAGGAAAAAAATGCTGACAAATGAAAAACGGACAAGACCTAAGCCTAATATGGTTGACATAGTCGACTCATCAGATGACGTTGGTCAGTCACTTAGGAAGCCTCGCCCAGTGGCTTTGGAGACAGGTCTAGGCTTGAACGTCAAGGGTCAACCACTCTTTCTGCCTGAGGCAAGAAGAAAGGAGCTAGAAGGGGCAGTTGTCATGATTCTTGCTCAGTTGTTGCTACAGGAAAGCGTTGGTACCTTAGAGCAAGAAGGAGAGAGGGCCTTTTAGACACTCTCTTTTCTAGAAAGATTCATAAATGAATTGGCCAAATGGGAGGATCGCCAGAACGATGGGACATCAAAAGAATTTGTGGAATTTGCTTTTGCTGCGGTGGTCGGTCTGCAGCTGCAAGTCAAAGATGATGGACTTCTGTCATTGTCAGTCTTTGCAGTTCATCAACTGCCCGACCACTCGCCCTTGATAGATCTCCAACTAGGGAGATCAGTAAAGCAGCGCCACCCCCTAGAATCACGGAGCAGCTGACAGGCAAGACAAAACCGTTATTAATATCGGTTGTTCCTTTCAAGGGAGTTGTCAGGGGTTCGGCTGCAAATTCTATGCAGGTGTTATTTGTTCGATTTGATGTTGAAGTAGCAAATTTGACTTTTTAACATTGCAGTAATGGGTTGGGGTGATGTTGGGGTTGCAGTCACGACCCACTAGTTGACCCCATTCTCATAACGTGTCAGCTGGTCCTAATCGGTACGATCAATCATTGATTTGTCGAATGCTTCGATTCTTCGACCGTTTAGTAGCTTTGAGATTTTTGTGGGTATTTCTGGTGTATACATATTAGTTCCCTGAGTTTTCATATTCATTGATAGCGACAAGTACAATAAAGACAGAGAAATTTATTAAATAATTGTTAGCATTAAATTCATGGATTCATTGAACATTTAACTTCCCTTGGGATTTGGTGTCATGTGTGTTCTATAAATGGTCATGAACAGAGTTTTGTATCATTTTTCGACACTTTCTCATTTTACAAATGAAGAAAGTTATGGTTGACGGTTCGAGCTAAATCGTTGTGGACCCTCAGAGGTTGACGAAGGTGAGGTTTCAAATCTCTTCCTCCGAAAAGAGGAAAAAAATGCTGACAAATGAAAAACGGACAAGACCTAAGCCTAATATGGTTGACATAGTCGACTCATCAGATGGCGTTGGTCAGTCACTTAGGAAACCTCGCCAAGTGGCTTTATTGAACGTCAAGGGTCAACCACTCTTTCTGCCTGAGGCAAGAAGAAAGGAGCTAGAAGGGGCAGTTGTCATGATTCTTGCTCAGTTGTTGCTACAGGAAAGCGTTGGTACCTTAGAGCAAGAAGGAGAGAGGGCCTTTTAGACACTCTCTTTTCTAGAAAGATTCATAAATGAATTGGCCAAATGAGAGGATCGCCAGAATGATGGGACATCAAAAGAATTCGCGGAATTTGCTTTTGTTGCGGTGGACGGTCTGCAAGTCAAAGATGATGGACTTCTGTCATTGTCAGTCTTTGCAGTTCATCAACTGCTCAACCCCTCGCCCTTGATAGATCTCCAACTAGGGAGATCAGTAAAGGAGCGCCACCCCCTAGAATCATGGAGCAGCTGGCAAGCAAGACAAAACCGTTATTATTATCGGTTGTTCCTTTCAAGGGAGTTGTTAGGGGTTCGGCTGCAGATTCTATGCAGGTGTTATTTTTTCGCTTGGATGTTGAAATAGCAAATTGGGGAAGGAGGTCATGATTCCTCTGTTGTTCATACTTTCTTCGTTACGAAGATTGATTATTATATCTACGTTGATTTTCTTTTGCCCCCCCCCCCCCCCAAATTGCTTGTACTTTTTATGTGTGCTTATGACCTCGTCTGCAGTGATTTGGGCCTTAACATGGCGAACAAGTTTAGAATAAGAAAGAACTGTCTCCCGCATCAGTGATGAGTAGAAAGGTTCTGGGTGGAGCCCCCCAAGGAAGACTCTTCTTAGTAGCTCTGGATCCACTCCTAGAATCTGAAGAGCTTTAGCAAAAAACCTACAAAACTAGTCTTTAAGCGACTCTCCTTTACTTTGACAAATTCCCAAGGGATGGGATCAATCCTTGATGATCCGTCAATTTGCCATAAACTAATCCACAAATAGTCTGTTAAGCTTGTTAAAGGTGTTTACAGTGCTCCATGACAGAGAGTAGAATCATCTTCAAGTTTTTCCTTTAAGAGTGACTGAGAACACTTGACACAGAAGCGCATCAAAGACACGTTGAATGTGCACGTTGAATGTGCATGATAGTTTGATAATGATCAATATGCTCATAATGGTCAGTTATCCCTTCATAGGTGTCGTTGTTTAGAAACTTGAAGCCTGTTGGGAAGGAGATTTGGAGGACCGCATCTGCTAAGGGAGAGGGTTCATGAACATTACGATGAGTGGGGAAGCGATCCTTTTTCTTTGAGGGGGACTCTTCCCAGAGGATGCAACATAGTTTGTTACGAATGACATCATCTGGAATGCAACAAGACGTGGAGATGTCGTGTGAGCTGCGCTTAATAGATAAGTAGAACTTGCGATATCTAGAAGTTCAGCATCACGACCTGACAGGGGAAGTGTTCCTTCTTAGGTCACCTGGTTAATGGTAAACAAACTTCATTCAATAGTTTAGGCAGCGGCTGTTGGGCCCCGCATAGGAGCTGTAGGATCTCTAGTTGAGATTCCTCCACTCTGTGCATTAAGTCTTCTATAGAAGGACAACTTCATTGGTAGGATAACGTCTTCCAGGGTCGGAAGATGAAGAAGCATGTCGACCTTGGTTTCGTGACTGCTCCCTGAAACGATGGGTGCTGGAGCGGGATGCTTCATTGTCACAAATATTATATCCAGTGGCCATGTAGTAAGTTTTGCAAGTACTTCAGAGATGTGATTGTAGTTTCCCAAAACAGTGTCAATTGATTCATACTAGAAAATTTGAGGTGGTAGAGTAATGGAATATCGTCTTGGCTTTGCTCAAAGATTCAGACGCACTCAGATAAACAAAAACAATCAGTAGAGAAACTAAAAATTTGTACGTTGAAAACCCGTACAGGGGAAAATACCATGGGGTCCGGCCCGACTGTAAAAATTCACTATAAATTAAAGATTACAGTTGTCACTTCTTCTGCATGTAGGAAAGGGTTAGAAGATCTCCCAAGTAACAACGTTGTCGTCTAGATAAATTTGTTGCAATGAACGAGTGGCGATTGATAGAGATTAGAGGCGACCGCTTTGTGGTGGTAGATGATAGTCGGCGGCAGTCCACAAAGATGGTGGTGTTGTACTTTCGCTCCTTCTTAATGCTTCAGGCCTCAAGCTCTCCTCTCCAATAAGAGGGGTGGGGCTCTATTTATAGTGCTTTCAGTGCAAATAATGCAGGAATATGAACCACTCTGATCAAACAGTATGAATATCTTCCTTCGATCAGATGACATTTGTTGGAGATTTGAGTGCCTCAACGATGTTGGAATTGAGAAATCTTGGGCTCGCTGGATTCGTCTTATCGAGATACTCAATTCGATTATAGGCTTGCTAGATTTGACATTCTTTTTACCTTCTAAATATGTTTGGAAAACTTTCAAGAGTGATTTAATGACTTGATTTGTGCATGATTTGGTCGGATTAGACTAATTTTGGTATTTTTAGATTCTTCTTGTTGAGTTGGTTAGTTTGACTGTAAGTTTAGTTAAATTGGAGTTTTGGATGATTTTTTATCGATGTTTAAATATTTCTTGCTCAAAAAATCGCTCGAGATCCATGTCATACCTCAAGATTTCATGTCAGATGATGAGATTTGTTGGAGTTGTATCAGAAGGGATCCACGATTTTTAGCCTTTGAACCAATAGGAAATAATCACAATGATCAGAGATGTTTAAGGGTAAAAATGGTAGTTTTTCTATAAAATTGTCGAGATTATTCATCAAACTTTGAAATTATATACCATTTTTAAGAGGTTGAAACAAGAAATCTATCAGTTCAAATGGTTTGAAAAATGAAGCCGTGTGTCAAAATTTATGGTCATTTGAAGTTCAAGGGAAGCCAACAAGGTGGTTATGGTGGTTGGGGAGTTGACTTTTTGACCAAAATGACTTTAGTCAAATTGATAGAGTCAAATGACATAAGTTCAAT